TTTTTTTCGTTTTGCTTTTATTTCACTTTGTGCACTTTAGTGAGGGACTCGCGAAAACTTTGGGTTACACTTCCGTGGCTGACCATCGCTTAGCCAACAAAATGGCAGCTTCACCAGAAACCGTCCGAAATTTTTTGAATGCGTATGTTTCCGCCATCCAATTTTTAATGTTTTTCCTTTGTCTACTCTTCAAATGTTAAAGCCTAAGTCGTCGAATACGACCAGTATTCATCGACCGAATGGAGTCTTGGTCCGCATATGCGCAGATCAGGGAGATGATGTCAGGCGATCTTCAAGCTCACGACATGGCATATATCTGCAGAAGAGAAGCAGAACAACATTATGAGTCAGTGGTAAATCCTGTTCTGTTGTAAGCTTATGATCTCCTTAATATCTGTTTTAGCGTTGATGCTCTCGATTTGATGAATCATTTCCCATTCTGGCCCACCTTCCGAAATCTATCAAAAGTCATAGGACATATATTTGGGTTACAGTTCAAGGTCTGCCTATTGTAGTATTGTTTGTTAAACTTTCCTTTCCGAGTTTTCCTTCGTTAGATTTGCACTGTGAACAATCAAGTTCTTTCAGGACATCACAGAAAGCGGTTTGGAACGAGCACATCCTGATGCGAGAATTTTCTCTGTGCAAGACGTTACCGCAGGCGAACATTTGGGACGGCTTTACATAGATCCTTATGACAGAGAGAGCAAGCGAGGTGGATGGAACACTCTTCTGGGTAGAAGTGGGTTACTTCGTGTTCATGTTGATCAGAATAATTTAAGTGGATTGTCTTAACCTCTTTTGGGTCCGTTCTAGTATCTTTTTTATGACTTTTTTAATGTCTTGGAGTCTTTATAGTATTGATCTTCTTTTGATTTAGGATCCTTCCATTCTCTAGATTTTTTAATAGCGTTTGCTTCAATTTATTATCGCGTCATTTTCGGGGTAGGATGTCTAACATCAACGTTCCTGATTTTATCGAAAAAAACAGGACTTGAAATTGTTGAGAAATTCTAGCGTTTTGTTCTCAACACCTATCCTCCCCTCCCTTTTCTACAAAATTTTTCCATTGTTCAGATTATATAAATTTGGACTAAAAGGAGCTATCTCTTTTCATGTAGAAGTATATTTGAACTCTTGTTTCATAACCATCACATTGAGTTTTTGAGCTTTCTCGGTAAGCTTTTGCTGGTTTTGCTAAACGGAAAAACCTACACCAATCATTTTTTCTGATTCATTCCTCTCCAGCATACTTACATAGAAATCATTGTTTGCTTGCCATCTCCATGCCATGTACTGGTACCGAATGCATGTTTGTTCTGTCATTTATACATGTAGTGCTTAAGAGTTGACGTGGATTGTTTCTATTTCTTCTGCACAGATTAGAAAAATGCTATATCTAGCAGCTTTAGTGGAATCGCAGTCTCGAGGTTTGGATAAGTTGGTCTATCTTGTTGGATCGGCTATAGCTCCTACTGAAAATGCACCATCATTACTTCATTACCAGCAACTACAACAATTGTTGTTCCATGTAAGACGTTTGATTTCTGTTCTGACAAATTTCGTAAAACAATTGTTAAGGTTGGTCGTGCTGTGCAAATGTTGCTTTCACGATCGCCGTATAGAGATATCGCGGTTCCGTGGGCACCATTCTATGCAAGCGACTGGGATGCCATGGATATGTTTCCTGCTTTTGTGCAGTTCTTCCTCTACAAACCGTCACTGTTACAGTCACTTAGCTCTCCGCATTTAGTAATATTTTCGTCACTTTTCAATATTTCAGTCTAGATAGAAAGGGTTCAGAAAAGTGGTGCAACTATCTCTGATGAGCAAGCCAATAACATCTGCTTGGCTTTATCAAGGTCAACTCTATGGGAATCCTATCGCTCTCTGTTCTGGTCCGACTTTGATCTAACCATCTTTGAGATGGAGGACAGGAAGTATGTGGTGTCCTATTGTTATTGTCTTTTTGTTTTCTAGATAGCAATTATATGTTTCCAAGACTTGCATTCTTTCAGGCAGAAATTCTGGTTAGACATCTATCGTGAAATGTCTAGAGAATACTTTCCCTTTAAACCGGATAGAAACGATTATCATCCTTGTTCATTCATACCTATCTTTGGACTACAGCCATATATGGGTATGTATTAT